TGTATTTATCATTTTCCTTAATATTACAATTTAACCTTAATAGGAAATTAAGAAGTCTAATTATTTCATAAATATTTTATTATTAAGTACTACAATTTAAATAGACTTGCTATTATTCATCAAGAATTGAATCTTCCTATTCTATATATATATATACACACATATGTACTTCGTCCCCCCGTCATATTCCACTGGGCCTTCTTTGTCTATTAAATGCCGACTGTTTCATTATTTTTAACAATTTCTTATTTTTCTTTCATTTTGTTTATTAGTTTGCAGTGGATCCAAATTCTCAAACCGTAAATAAGTTGATCAAAAGACAAAAAATACTTATTAAAGGGTAGTTCAAATTTTTAAGAAAGGTTGTGGCACCCATAGATTAAAAACTTAATAGAATAGAAAATTAATCCAATTTATAATTATAGAATAGGGGTGTAAGACCCATTGGTTAATAAATTTAGATAATTGGTCCCTTCTTTCTTCCTATTTTATTCTTTTAATAATTATTAAACAAATATAGAATAGTAAATTAATAATTTCTGAATACTAAGTCTTGGAAAGTTGATATTTAACAAATTAGTAACTTATCATAATGCACTTGAAGATAAAAAAACAATTATAATAATGTACTAAAAATGATTAAATACGCTAACAATATCCTTATTAACATGTAAATATGAAGTGATACTTGATTTGTAATAAATATTAATTAAAAATAACAAAAGTATACCCCTGGTCTAAATTTTTCAATGTCATTTTTATGAAAATTTGGCCTTATTCTTTAAAATGAAAAAGATTAAATTTGTACACTTATATCTTCTTTCATATCTACTATTCAAACAATTTTTTTATAAATTATTACATTTAAAATTAGTAATTATCAAAAAAATAATTTTAATTATTAGCATAAAAATTTATAATTAGTAACTACTTAACTACATCCAATACAGAAAAACTACACACAACACCTATAGGTCTAGTTTGTAGAAAATAAGCATATCAGTCTTGCTTTTTAAAAATTTAAGATTTCAAAAGTCTAAGACGACACCATTTCAAATTTTCAATAAAAACCAAATTTTCTTTGTCAATTTCAATAAACACTTAATGAAAATGATTAAAATATCTTATAGTGATAAAGCGAATGAAAAGGCTTTCGTAGTTTTGTAATGATCCAGCCCACAATATATACTGTTGGTTTCAGCCGATCGGGTCTTTCGGTTTTAAAGCACAACAACAAAAGGTAACAAGTGTTACATACCCAAAATCTCTATTTTACTCTGTCGGTGGGGGATTTGCTTTCAAATATCACAAGTTTTTTCCCTTTTGTTGCCCTGATTTTCTCCTCTATGTCTTGTTTTCTTCTTCCCCTAACTGCTACTGCTTCTTTCCTCCTTTTGCCACTATTTCTCTCCCCCCTTTGCCGTTGCTTCTCTCCCCCTTGATAGTTAGGGGCATGGTTGTTAAAATCACGTTTTAACTCGTAAAATCGTACAATTTTACAATTTTACCTATGCAATTCGTGTAAAATCGAAGTTAAAATGGGTTGGAAAACTGCCTTGATAAGCACTTCCTTTCCTACCGTTAACAATAACTTATTCTTCCAACCTTATAGTTTTGCCCATACTTTGTCTCTTATTGTTTTGAATGTCTGTTCTTTATCTAATGTATTACTTCA